GCCCCCCACTTTTACTATGAAACATTAGTTCAGGCGGCGCAGTTTCTCTTTCTTCGTGAACAAATCCATTCCACTTGAATAGATTGCTCAAACCACAAAAACTCCTCTCCAGGTTTTCCTGGTTACCTCAGCAGCATTGCTGCCTGCGGTGTTTTATCCTCTGAGTCTCCAGAAAACGCTCACTGGTGGAGGAGATGGAGACACTTCTGTGTTGCTCTCTCGCCAGTTTAGCAGCTTAGGTCCTATTTACACAGACACGATGGGGGGAAACGTAGTTTTTTCGTATGTTAATTAGAGGAAAAGATTTACGTTGACACGGTTGGATTTTGGATTTACATACATCCGCAGGATTCCCCCCGCCCTCCCGAATCTGCTGTAGTTACCATGCCGGGTCATTAGATGGCGCTGTGAATTTTGTACCTTCACCTAATGCGCATGCGTGCTGCCTCGGCACACTCCTTTCCTGTGAGCTAAAAAGCTCAGCTAACAACAACTTAACAACAAGTAAAAGCTGGATTCTGGATGGATTTTGGATGAGAGTCGACAGATTTGACGCCAAGCGGGACCGCTTTGTCTAACAGCTCCACACCGGTCGCTGAGTGGACCAGAACCGAGTCGACGATGTTGAACTTTACTCCGTGATAATCAGTAGCTGTTTTACAGCAGGTAAATCAAATGTTCTTAATAATGTTAGCTTGTGTTTACTTCGATCACACAACAACCAACTGAGTTTTTATTTTTCCTGAAAGAAGAAGAAGCTGTCCTCCCACCAGGCAGACCGGTTCTGAACGAGGCTCGGCCCAGATGCAGGGCAGGAGGACGTCGAAGAGAGATGTTGATGAACTATTTATTTAAAAGTCCTCTCAGTTCTTTTATTCAAACCATTCAATGTTTTAAGCTGCATTAATCAAAGGAGTGACTTCCTGAACGAGCCAGATGAACAACGTGGGACATCCAGGATGAAAACAAGAGTCCAGTTGTTCATTCATGCAGTTTACTGTTAACTTGTTTTAATAGTGTGTTCAGTTTAATTATCAGTGTTTGTGTGACATACAGTTTGTGGTGTTGAATAAAAATAAAAATTAAACCTGATGTCTTCATTTTCAACTTTAGTGTTCACACTACGTTTAGCATCATTTTAAATTTGAATTACATCATGTCCAGATAGCTTCATTTAGCTCAGAGCTTCATTATCTCTCACACTAACATAAATACTGTTTATTATTATTAAACTAATTATTTAGCACATTTAGATGTTATAGTGCAGTGCGACGTGTGCATGTGCCTCGTTCTATAAACAGCGACATCAGAACTGGATCAGACTGTGTCTCTTCCAACACAGATGTCGGTCACAGCAGCTGGAATCTGACGTAGATTAACTACAAGATTAAATATATTCCATCAGTCGAGGTTCTGAAAGCAGTGACCGCCGACATGTTGATAGAAATATAGCGTCGGTCCATTCGTGCGTGTGCACATGTGGTTTAACACAAAGCCTCAGCGGGAGATGTTACATTATCAGCGGGGGGTCAGAGAAAAACCTCCACTCTGGAAGGTGGGTTCAGAAACCTCTGGATTCAAAGAGGGGGGGCAACTGGTGTCGTGTAAATGATCAGCAGAACCGCAAAGAGAAAGGAGAGGATGCACTCAGAATGTGTACTGTGTAAACGGCCCCTTAGTGCTGGCAGTTGTTGTATATTCATGTTAGGAGGATGTTTGAGAGGAGCTACGTCTGTAGCATCTTATCTCAGCAGTAACTGTGACGTTGTAAGTCGCTGCAGGTGTAAGAGACTCTGTGTGTTCAGGTGCATTAAAGTTGAAATGTCTTTAAACCCCACACCTTCTTGTCCTCAAGCTTCATGAGAAACATCATTTAGATGAGGAGTGTTGAACACAAGTAAAAAAGTCCAGTGGTGATAATTTTATTTCTCTATAAACACAAATAATGTCGACCTGACGCTCTGTGTTAAAGTGTATTAAAGTTAAAATGTGTTTAAAACCCACAGCTGAATTTACACAAACTTGGTGAGAAACATGTTTTAAATGTGTGGAATTAAAGGAAATCTAGGTGAAACGTTGCTTTTTTGTACATTAGTGAACACTTTTTTATGCGCGCACACACGTGCACATGCGCGCGCACACACGTGCACACATCATGTGTCCCCCCCACATTACGGATGCTTCTGACGCCCTTGCTGTTCGGTGTATTGTTTTTAGGCTATTTTATACTACTAGTGCTTAGTGTATTTTTATTAATGGTTTTCTTAGTTCATATCTTAGATCTTGTTACTGTTTTTCTTTTACATTTTATACTATAGTTAGATGTAACTGGGACCCTGTGCACACAATTTCATTCCACCATATGTACCACATGTGGTGGAATGACAAAGAACTTTGAATCCTTGAACAAGTTGGCAGCACAAATTCCCACTTCATTAACATAGACAGCGCTGTGTCCATCCATCCATTATCTTTCACCCGCTTCTTCCATTTTGGGTCACGGGGGTCGGGAAAAAACCCACGCATGCACGGAGAGAACATGCAAACTCCACCCAGAAAGGCACCCAGACCGGGATTTGAACCGGGGACCTGCTCGCTGAGAGGAAAAAGTTCTACCAGTTGTGCCACCGTGCTGCCCCTAGCGCTGTGGTCAACCATCCCAATGTGTTTCTGTTTCGGCGGTTGGTTCTGTTCAAGTGTTTTTCTGTGTAGATTGACACCATGGGGTGAGATGAGGAGTCAAAGTAAAAACACAACAGCTCAGAAACCTGACCCAAAGCTCTCACTTCTCTCATGTAGGCACTACAGCAGACAACATAAACACTCAGACTTCTTTTTCTCACAAGTTTCATCTGACCGAGCTCAGAGTTGTGCAAAACCATTACTCATCTGTAAACATTTCATCTCAAAATGATTTTTCCTTCCTGCAGTACGTTGCCATTTGATCAATATGTGTGATATCATTAGTGTCTACTGTTCTCCCAGCAGTCATTCTGATCTTCTGACATTCTCGTGGTCTTCACAAACAGAGAAGTCTGCATTTGTGTTTAAAAATATGTACACTTGTGTGCTTTCAGAAAGACAAAGAGTTCAGTGTTCTACATGTTCTTGTTACTTTGATGAGAACACAATAATCTACATGTAACAGCTTATGTTCTGTTAGCACGAATCCTTTTATTGGTACAAACAACCATTTTTTCTGTTTATTGAGAACCACATTGGAAGGCCAAAGAGGAGATATATGGATGCAGTAGAGAGTGAGGACAGAGGAAACAGAGGACAGAGATGGAGGAAAAAGACTCGCTGCGGTGACCCCTAAAATGGAACACACAAAAGAAGAAGAAGGGGACTTTATTCTCGTGCTACTTAAAACCCACCTTATTGTTATGTCCTAATGTGTGCCAAGTAGACTTAACAATGCCGATCTGCTGCAGTGTGACAGAAATATTTAACTTTAGTGTCCTAGGAGACTGCTGACCAAGCACTTGGAAGGCTCTGCACATGTTTCCTGTGGTCGCTGTCACACTTCTACTTCTACTGCAGTGGTTACGTTTGTCAGCTTAGAAATACACTGCGTTCTGACAATCCACTGAAAATACCGTAAAACATTTGATTGAACCATAAACCTTAGTCCAGATGGAGCAATGTGAAACTTTTGGGTCATTAAGTGCACATTGTTACAGTAATTCTAAAGGTTTAGTTATTTTGATCAAATTGTTTTTTTTTATTGTTTTTTACACTAGTACCACACAACATATAAAAACATACAACAACAAAAAGAGTTTTTAGTTGTAACATCATAGAAGAAGTACTTTAGCAAACATTATTTGAGATGTAAAATGTACAGCACTGTGCACTCAAGTGTTTATTTAAAGCAACTTTTTCTAACAGCACATTTCATTTTCTACTGAACTCCATCCATTATATTTTACCTGCTTTTTTCTTTTTGGGTCATGGGGGTCACTGTGCAAGAGGCGGGGAACACCCTGGACAGGTCTCCAGTCCATCACAGGGACACATACAGACGAACGAGACAAACAACCATTCACTCTCTCACTCACACCTAGGGACAAATTAAAGTTACCAATCAGCCTAACGTGTGTTTTTGGTCTGTGGGAGGAAACTGGAGTACCCAGGGAAAACCCACACATGCACGGAGAGAATATGAAAACTCTACCCAGAAGGGCTACTGGCCAGGATTCAATCTGGTGACTTTCTCGCTGAGAGGCGGCAGCTGTACCAACTGTGCCACAGTGCTGCCCTCTACTTGATTCATCAAATGTAATATTGAGCAAACTAAAACGTTGTCTCCAAAGCACCTAAATATACAAGTGTTATGTGTTGTCATCATTGAATGTTCCCATACAATGGCAAAATTAGTTCTCTGCATTTAACCAATCACATCTGAGACACACCCAGGTGGAGCAGTGGGCAGCTCTGTAGGCGCACAGGGAGCAATTGGGGATTGGGTGTCTTGCTCAAGGACACCACGACATGTGGGCATGGCAGGGAGTCAAACCGTGACTTTCTGGTCCCAAGTAGGCTGCCCTACCTCTACACCATTTCGGTTCCCCGAAAGGTGGACCATCTTCAGAAAGTCAGGTGGTGTCAAAACGTCAGGTGGTGCCACGTATGTAGGAAGCTTTGATTCTCAAACTGAGAGCAAAACTGCAACTAAACCTCCACGTTAGGTTGCTGTCTGCTCTTCATGTACAGAAGCTTTGGAGTTCTTGTCTTGTACACCTACAGTGAAACTTTTCCATAGATGCTTTATTTTTCAATGGGACAAAAACATTTGTTAAAAACGGTTTGGCACAATTAATGGCTCTGAAGAGAGGAAGCCTATTGTTTGTAAGAGCTCTGATGGCTGGTTGCCTATTCAAACTTATGTTTGTGAATGTGTTCATGGGCTTCAGAAGAACAGAGTCCAGTCAATAAAACTTTTTTGTTTCATATTTTAAGGCTTTCCTTACGTGTCTCTCTGTGTCTGTGTCCTGCAGCATGGGTGGGCTCCCTCTCCATGGGGATGATCTTCTTCTGCTCTCCCATCGTCAGCGTCTTCACAGACATTTTCGGCTGCAGAATCACTGCAGTGGGGGGTGCAGCTGTCGGCCTGGTGGGCCTGCTGGCCAGCTCCTATGTTAAGTAAGGAAACAGTCATTTTTGTCTTTTTATAATGAAATATTTTCCTTAAATCTTACAGTAAAAATGCTCCAGGTCTTGTGAATTAGTGATGTTGGTTATGTATTGTAACCCCAGATTCTATGAGTATAGGCGCAGCCCTTTAAGGCTATTGCTAGTGGGTTTTCCCTTCATGTGCAGTGCAGCACTGAAAGCTCAAGTCCACGCCCACCTACTGTGTGCCCTGCCTCCAGCCTATATAAACTGCTCTGAGACTGGGGTTCGGTCCCGAAATAGCATTTTCTTCAGTTATTTAGGAGCCAGTGAGGCCCAGATCTTAAATGGCTGTGCCTATACTCATAGAATCTGGGCTTACAATATGTAATCAACGTTCTATTTTGTATAGGCTTTGCTTTTTAAGGCTATCACTAATGGGTTAGAGGCAAAGCAGTATGTGGTCCATGCCTCACTGGGTCCCATCGGAACCACGATCACAGACATCTGATAATATTCTTGAAAAACAGTCCATGTCGAACCTCCGGTTCATGTGTAATTACGCACCTCTGAATCCGTGCACCTGGAACATGCTGGACAGCAAGAAAGGTGACATCTTGGCATCAGTCTGCAGGCTGGAGCGTTCGATCCTGCTGTTGTGGGGCCAGCAGATCAGAGAGCCCCGGCGGAACGTTTACATCGTCAATCTGACAACACTCTGAGAACAGAGTGAGCCAGGGAGAAGCTGGAGGCGTCGCGTAAATAAACCATATGAATGAATACGACAATGACCAAGGTGTTGCAGTGCAAATATCCTGCACTGACACTCCACCGTGCAGGGCCATGGAGGTCAAAATCCCCTGGTGGATTGAACCCTGAGCCCGTCTGGCAGCTGGCATCCAGAAGAAGTATAAATGCTCCCATATACTCTGGCATACTTCACTGTGCAGAGGTCTGCGCGTACCCGAGGCGGGCTCAACACTGTCTCAAAGCGGACGACTGCAAGCCATGTCCATGCAAAGATCAATTTTTACGACAGTGTATGCTTACTCTGTGTCGCACAATAAACTACCCGGTGACTGACAGTTTTGTATGCGACACCAATGTATTCATTCATTCAACCTTTATTTAGACAGGTTAATCCCATTGAGCCTTGAGGACTCATTTACAAGAGAGACCTGATTTCAACAAAGAATGATGACAACAATGGACAACAACGACAACAATAGACAATTTTAAAAGAGGCATACAATTTTTTTTAAATAAATTAAAATAAGATGGCAAAACAAAGTAGTAAAAACAGCTAGATTCTAAGGCGAATGTAGAAAACTAAAAACAGGAACATGTCTGCATTGGTCCCTGCCAGGAGTCCAACAGATTCTTAAAGCCACTTAGAGAGGTCAAAGGTCGAGAGCTTCAAATATTTTTGTAAGATATTCCAGGAAATGTGGTGAAGTGGTGAAGTGGTGAAGTGGTGAAGGACCCCACCCACCCAGCACACACACTTTTTGCCCCACTCCCCTCAGGAAGGAGGTTAAGGAGCATTAAGTGTAGAACCACTAGACTGAGGAACAGCTTCTACCCTGAGGCTGTTAGACTCATGAATCTCTAACTAGAATAATCACTGTGAAAAACCATATCATGTTGCTGCTGATCTGTTTCATGTTGCTGCTGATCTGTTTCAATGTTGATGTGTTCATGCGTGCACATCTGCTCACAGACTCATGTTCATGTTTGTGCTGATGTTCAATGTTTTTATGTTATGAGTGCTTAGTGTATATTTAGTTGATGTTTTTCTTAGTTCATATCTTAGATGTCATTACTGTTTTTCTTATACATTTTATTGTTGGATGTAACTGGGACCCTGCGTACATAATTTCGCTCCACCACATGTACCACATGAGGTGCGAATGACAATAAAGAAACTCTGACTCTGACTCTGAAACAGGAGCGGAGTAGGAGAAGGCCCTTTTGTCTAGTTCAGTCCTCACTGAGGGAACACTGCAGGTAATGATGTCCTGAGAGCGCACACTGTAGCTGCACTCACGCAGAGACATGTAGGAGGAGATGTATGAAGGCAGCAGACCAGGAAGTGATTTAAAGATGAAAATGTACCAGTGAGAGTCTGCGTGAAGTTAATGGTGACCAGTTAACCAGTGAATACAGGGTGCAGTGGTGGGTATGATAATCACAACCAGTTATGAATCTTAGTGCACCATGATAGACAGCATCCAACATCTGCAGCATCCAACATCTGCAGGGTTCTTGTAGGAGCATTCCATCCATCCATTATCTTTTACGCGCTTCTTCCATTTTGGGTCACGGGGTTCGCCAGTGCCCATGTCCAGCAATCACTATGCAAGGGGCGGGGTACACTGTGGACAGGTCGCAAGTCCGTCACAGGGCTACATAGAGACAAGCAAGACAAACAACCACTCACTCTCTCACTCACACCTAGGGACAATTTAGAGTTACCAATCAGTCTAACATGCATCTTTTTGGTCTGTGGGAGGAAACTGGAGTACCTGGAGAAAACCCACGCAGCACGGAGAGAACATGCAAACTCTCCCCAGAAAGGCCCCTGGACCGGGGTTTGAACCAGGGACCTGCTCGCTGAGAGGCAGCAGCTCTCCCAGTTGTGCCACTGTGCTGCCCTGTAGGAGCGTTCATGTAAATAATGTCACTGTAATCAATGAAGGGAAGGAAGGTCACAGATACAAGGTGTTTCCTAGCATTCAGAGTTAGACAGGATCTGTTTCTGAAAAAGAAACTCAGTTTAACTTTCAGTTTTTTTATTAGGCTCCACGTGGAGCTTAAGAGAGATGCAAGTCAACCAAGATACCCAAATATTTATAGGAATCAACAAAATCAATGGGGACACCATTTGAGGATAAAATTAGAGGAAGAACTGCTGGGACAGACCTCCTGTTTGAAAAAAGCATCCCTTTGGTTGTATCGGCATTTAGGACAAGTTTGAGGTGGAACAAATCTGACTGGATGATGTTGAATGCAGATTGTAAAAACTGGAAAGCCTTAGCAACAGTTTTAGCTCAACACTAAACAACTGTGTCATCAGCGTAGAAATGTATGGATGTATCAGGGAAGCTTGTGACCTACATTAACTATGTAGTTTGTAAAGAAGGTCGGTCCTAAGACCGAGCCTTGTGGTACACCATTGTTGACTGTTAAATAACTGGAGGAAGTACCATTATGTTGAACACATTGCCTCCGGTCTGAGACATAGTTAGAGAACCAACCAATGGTGTGTTCTGAGAAACCAGTTTCTGAGAGCTTATGACACAAGATGTTCTGATCCACAGTGTCAGAATCTTTAGACAGGTCTAAGAAAAGTGCAGCACAATAATCCTTAGCATCCAGTGCTTCAACAACATCATTAAGAACCTTCAGTTAAGCCAATGCTTCTCAATTATTTTCTGTTATGCCCCCCAAGGAAGAAGTAAACATCCCCCCCCCCCCCCCAACTCTCCGCCACGACTGTAAATAGTATGTCTATAAAATTGTTATATGTACACCTCTGCACTGTGTCCTTATTAACATTAAAGGGAAAAAAATAACAATATAAATCAACTTACAATGAAGAATAACTTTATTAACATTGTTTTTTAGTCTGTAACAGAAACAACTTCGTGCGTCATTTTGCCTAAAAAAATCCTTATTAAACTGTAAACATTTTGGACCATTTGATACTGAAAAATAAAATTAAATATAATCAATAAATAATAATACATTCAAATTGATCAGCAACATTTTAACTCAGGAGTTTTATTTAAAACACTTTGACCTACATAACAAAAATGAATAAAACAATTTATACTGATTTTTTTTTATCAAAATGAGGAAGTCAGGATCAATGAGCACACTCATCGATAAAACAAACAAAAAAAATTGTCAACATGAAAGAGGAAAGAAGGAGCAGGTAACACTCTCGCTTTGAGTTTACTCTTTGTCACCTGCGTGCTGTGAGTGACAAACGTTCAGAGAATCATAAAAACAACAGCTTATCTGAGGAGGTGAATTAATTTTGTTAGCAAAGAATAGAGTCCTAACATTTATTAAACATTACTTCTGTAAATTGTGCTTTGACAAACTTATCAATAAAACTAAAACATTTTGTCAACGCAAAAGAGGAAAGAGGGGGCAGGTGTCACTCTTGCTTGAGTTTACTCTTTGTTGCATGCACGCTGTGAGGGACGTCCAGAGCGCATGGACATAAAAACAGCAGCGGAGGACGGAGGAGGTGACGGTCGGAGTTTATTTATCATGTCAGCAGCAGAGGAGAGAAACACAGTTCATGCATGGCTCCTGTCGTGGCTGGTTACCACGTCGTGTTCAAGACAGCTGAGACATCGCCCTCGGTATAAAAGATTTATTTGACAAACAGGGGTTACAGATATTCAGAGACAAACAATTACATTAGTAAAATATATGCATATATTTGGAGCATTAAAGATCGAACCGTCTCGGTCTGGTCTTCCCTGGAAATGCCCGCTGAGCGTGTGTCATTTCCGGCTTTTATAAAAGCTTGAAAAAGCTAGCTCCTCTGATTGGTTTAGCCCTTCAGTTGCCATGGTTACTGGTGTAGCCCGCCCCCTGAAGGACGTTGGTTTAAAAAGTTTATGGCACACTGAAATCGTTCTTTGTTTTAGCTCTGTTTGTTTAACGTGATTATACCTTAGTGATACCAAATGATTTGAGTTAAAGTTGTTTATTTCTAGGAATAATTAATAACTATTAATTATTATCTAACTCATGTTTGCGTGTTCTTACTTGATCCCTTTTTATACTTCTGTTTTAGTTTAGTTGCTTTAGTTGGATTTTACTTAGTCAAACTATATTAAGTCTAAATTAAAGAGATGGAGGACAAGCTGAGCACTACCTCCAGATAGAGTTGTACTCGGATCCAAATGATCCGAACTGACCCTGCTCCAGCCCACAGCCATCATCTCCGAACTCCACCTGAGCCGACAAATTAACAGTAATTACAGGTCAGAACCCGACAAGAAATCCGA